GTCCGGGGCCCCGGCGCCCGCCGCCCTCGAGGGAGGAGGGGGGGCGGGGGGGCCCCGCCCCTGCGGCAGGATCCCGCTCGGCGCCCAAGCCTAGGCCAGGCCAGGCCCGGCCCGGTCCGGTCCGGCCTGGCCTGGCCAAGGTCAGCAGAGCCCGGGCGGCGGGGGTGCAGGCCCCTGGCCCCGGGCTGTAACCGCGCCCGCACAGCTCGCTCCTTCCCCCCGCGGGGAGAGGTTGCGGGAAAAACAGCTTTGGTCTTCCAGCCCCGTGTTGTAGGGAGGCTGCGAGCTCTTGGGGACTGTCCCTGGTTGTTCTGGTTTGTTTTTTTTTCTTCTTTATCCTGCAGTCCCAGAGCATCGCCTCCCGATGCGGTGCTAAAGCGTGTCCGTCTGCCTGCGGCTGCCCCGCGCAGGGAGTGGGGAGGACATGAGCCTTGGCCTGCCCTTCCTGCAGCCGCTCCTGCCAGGATTCAAAGAATAAACCCTTTCTTTGATATTCCAGGTGTCCCTGCGTGTTTTGCTGCTTGCTGCTGATCGGATTTTTTTCTTAATGTTTTCTAATCGGATTATTTTTTTCCATAGAATAATGTTTTCCAGTTCATTCAAAATAGACCTGATGCAGAGCAATTTGCCAGGTAGATTTACATTGGAAGACAGTTGTGCTGAGGTGGAGGATGGATGCAAAAGGTGGGGGTGGGGAACCCTGGGGAGTGATGCTATATCTTTCTGGAAAAAATCTCTTACATCAAGACTGTTCCTTATGGCTTTGATTCCTTCTGGTTGTGCCAGAAGATTTTAATGGTTCCCCTTTGTGAGAGGCCTTGATAAAGGCTTCGCACAGCTTTAGAAAACGTTTCTTTAACAGAAAAATTGCTGGGTAGCCTTGTCATTTAACTGCAGTTAATAAATGGGTCTTGCCATGAAAATACCATTGAGTGAAGCGTATGTAAGATGTGTGCAGAAAAGAAGGAACAAAAGGATTGAAAAATAGGAAGGTTTCTGCAGCATCGTGAAAGTGTCTCATAAATTTAGCAACAGCAGTGCTGGCGTGTAGAAAAAGATTGAACACAGATTAGGTAGATGATGGTTGCTTAATTTACGTCTTTCCTGCAGTAGCAGAAGTCATACATCTGGAAGGGGTAGACTTAAGACTAATGATTTTTAAAAAATGTAGATGGTGCATTGCTTTGAGCTCCTTAGTGTGGTACTCAAAAACAAAATCAAAGCAGCAATAAAAAAACAGGCTGAAAGAGGAGTCTTAAACCTTGTTTGCCATCTTTCCCTTTGTACAAGGAAGGTAAAAAGGAGTCTCATGCTGTTCAGACAGGTTGGCACTTCTGGGTATGATGATTCATATTGGTGAGATCTTGTGTTTTATAACCAGCCCTCATCACTTCATGAAAATAAGGCTGTAGAGAATTTTATACCTGTAGTAGACTAATAAAACACTAATTTTGGAGATGATAAAATATTTGACTGCCCATCAGCTTGGGGCAAGTAATTTTTAAGTGTTATGCCTCCCCCACCCATAATAGAACATAGGTATTTGTTTTTCCATTTGCCCAGGAGCAGGCACCAGAATAATGGGGTGGAGTAGACTGCAGATGCTCCTGAAGGAGACTGCAAAGTGCAGGTCAGCACTGTGCTTCCATGGCTGACTGTGGATCAAATAAAGTGGCAAACTGCCTTTTTACTGCTGCAGTTGATACACACGATGCTGTGGAAATGCCATGATGGATAAGCACTAGCTCCAGCAAGCACAAAGGCACATAAAACTGCAGTTGTCCGTGTACTACAACGCAGATTGCAGTGTACCCAAGGGGAAATGCAGGCTAGGGCATGCAGGGAACTGAACAGGTAATAACAGTGTATTGCCCAAATCTGCCAGCTATTAAATAAGCCCCCCAAATTTTTCCTGTTTTTAGATTTTGTGTGTGTATTTTACAACAGTGATTAATCTTCAGTATTTAAGACAACATTTAATACTTGTGCGTTACATGTTTTTACATCTTTAATTTAAGCCATGCTAGCATATATGAATCTTTATTTAACAGACTGCCATGACTAGTTGTTTTCTTGACTAGTTATTTTGTCCTTTAATTTTATTTTTAGGGAGGTT